ATGTAATTTATGCATTTTCTATCATTCTACAGTTGATTTGATTATAAAGTATCTTTTTCTCACTTTTATCATTTGGTCTTGGTAATTTATAAATATCAGCTATCAATTTCATTGATGTGACCTGATTATTTATTTTGAAGTTATATATTTGAAATATTATATACAGTTGATATGTTATCCACCAGATATATTCAGAGAAGTATGTTGAGTTAGCCTTGTTCCATAAACAGGTGATTAATTGATATAATCATATGTTTTTACTATAGATAAATATAACATGAAATAGTTGCATTGGAATGATTATTATTCATTCAGTAATATTGTGCATGCATAATGTTCATTATCAGAATTAATGTTTTTTTTAATATTTTATGCAGTCAAGGGGAATAACTTGTAAAGTGATTTGAACTTTATGAATATAGTGCAAGAGTTATCTTTCTTGTAATGTATATATATTCCCTTGCAAGTTGATTGTTTACTTTTATGCTCACTATTGTTTATTCCTATTACAGGACTATACTATATACTACTACTATATTACTACTTCATAATATATGTCATTATATCGATCCATCCATATCAACACTTGAATGATGTAATAAATGATGAACCCACAAGTGGCGACTTCTTATTTATAAGTAAAGGATCACATTTATATTGGTATAAAACAATTTCACCCATTTCTCTATTGAGGGACCAAAATTAAAAAAAACTGTAAGGAACTCTGAAAAAAATTCCATGAAATAGTATCAAAAGCTTTCTCGAAGTCAATCAAAAGCAACAAGCCTGGTATATTTCTTCTTCTGTGTACTGCATTATATCATAAATTAAACGTGTATTTTCTACTATGTACCTATTGGAAATAAATCCCGTTTGATCACTATTTATCGATTTGTCCAATTTATTTTTTATTCTGTTAGCAATAGAACCTGATGCAATTTTGTATATAGTATTTAAGAGTGTTATTGGCCGCCAGTTCTTTAGAAATTGTCTTGGCTTATCCCCCCTTAGGTAAAAACGTTGTTATACCATGTCTCTGTGTTATAGACATAAGATTATTCTCATATGCATAATAAATTGATCTAACAACAAAGTGTCAAAGGTATTTCTAAAAAAACTTTTAAAATTCTGCCGAAAAACCATCAGAACCAGGTGATTTGTCTGCTTTCATTTTATTAAAAGTGCTAGAAGCCTCCTGTAAAGTAATGAAACCTTCTATTTCTTCAGCTTCTGCATTAGATAATTTTTGGGAATTCTCACTTATTAGATCCGACTCAAATTCTTTCAGTTAAAGTTATTTATAATAAAAATATGTATGACTTGAATATTAGATTTATTAATGATCTTATAGATGAAAATGGTTCCTGTTATAGTTTTGAGGAATTTTGTGGCATATATCCAAATTTAAGGCTTAATTTCTTAGATTTTGCAGGTAAAATAGATGCTGTAAAGGCATGGATGAAAGCAACAGACACTAATGATATAATTGCAAAATTACCTAACCCATTAATTTTGTCCAACACTCCTTTTCTTTCAATGTGTAGAAAAGCAAAACAGTTTCATGAATTAATCAATGTAAATGATATTGAACCCACTGGGAAAACAAGATGGAATGATATTTTTAATTTAGGGGAAATTGAATGGAAAAGAATTTTTAAACTTCCATTTAAGATTACAAAAAATAGTAAACTGCAATGGTTTCAATACAGAATCCTAAATAAAATACTAGGTACAAACTCATATCTATGTAAAATAAGGAACAGAGAAAATAACTTATGTTCTTTCTGGAATATGGAAGAAGAAACAATTATACATATTTTATGGGAGTGTAACAATGTACAAATCTTCCTCAACAGTTTTGAAAGATATTGTGAGCAAAAGATAGGGTTGCAACTTTCATTTACAAAGCAAAATTTTTTTGGGGGGGGGGGGATTTCTAGCAAAAAACAAGGACATTCATTACTTGCTGTTCCTATGGATAAAATATTATATATATACAATGAGATGCTTAGGAAAAAAATTAGATGTCAGACTTGCGACTTCACATATTAATTTTTTTATGAAACACAAAAACATTTAGCATATAAAAATGGTGACAAAGAGATTTTTAACACCGACTGGAATCAGTCGAATCAATTTTGTTTATGAATGAAATATTTTTTTTGTTTATTCATGTAAAAGAATTAACATGCCATCTCTCTCTCTCCCCCTCTTTTTCTCGCTCTCTCTCTCTCTCTCTCTCTCTGAAAAAAACAACCTTTAAGATGATAAATTGTATATTTTGATTTATAAAACAAATTGTGTAAAATAAATAAAGAATTAAAAAAAGGGTCACTATTACATTATCAATAGAGCCCCGCCCTAACACCAGAACCCCTGACCCTGGGGCCATGAATTTCTCAATTTTGGTAGAGGCACTCTTGCTCATCATAACTATTTTCTTAGTTAGTTTATTAAATACCTAAAAGCAGAGAAGAAGATTTTCAAAGATTTAATGCATTTTCACTATATAATCAATAGAGCCCCGCCCTAACACCAGAACCCCTAACCCTGGGGCCATGAATTTCCCAATTTTGGTAGAGGACTCAATACTGATTACAATCATAACAACCGTTGGAGTGCTTGATGTCCGGGAGTAAAAGATATTTTTAAAGAATGCAGTAATTGTAGTGGTTTTTGCCCCACCCCCAGGCCCTGGGGGGGGGGGGGGTGCTGGGACCACGAAATTCACAATATTTGTTTCCTAAGATGCTATATGACAAAATTGGTTGAAATTGGTTCAGTAATTTTAGAGAAGAAGCTGAAAATGTTTAAATGTTAACGCACGACAGACAACGGACGACGACAGATAAAACAGATAGCAATAGGTCACCTGAGATTACTAATAAAATGCTCGACAGTTTACTACCGACGATTAGAACCTAACCCGCGCAGTACAGTTAAGGCAACATTTTCTATAAAAACTCACGGAATCCGATACATATAATGTTTAACAGTTTTATTTTTTAGCAAGACACTTTAGTTAAAACAGCTATTTGTTATCTTGAAGAGTATGTCCATCGCTTTTCACATCGGTATTTTTTGACATCATGTGACCCCCTGAAGTCACGTCGGCTCCGATTTTAGGTCAAAACATGAAATGTCAAATTTAACCAAAAAGTGCAAGGGCAAGACAAACAAAAAATTAACTGCACAATGTTTTATGTTTTCTCTATGTATCTATACTTTCTCAAGAGTGATGCTCATTCAGTTAGTTTTCCGATATAATAAGTAATTCAGCTAAAACAGACAGTAATGGATGAAAAATAGGATATTTTCCTAATTTCATCACCAATTATAAATTAACTAAGGGATTACAAAGTAATGAGCATCCCTTTTTGAAAACTATACAATAAAATAAATAATTTAAAATAAAAACCTACTTTTTAGATTGTCGCCTTGCCCTTGCACTTTTTGATTAAAAAATGAAATCTTGCAAGAGTCAATCTAATTATAGTTTTCAAACGCATCACTGACCCAGCATGGGAGATTACTCTGGAGTACTTGATATAGTTTGTTTACCTCGTAAATTTAAAATAAATATACATGCGGGCAGAACTTGACATTTTTTTTTAACTTAATCAAACGGTGTGTATAAAAATCCTTGACATTTCTTTCTTTTTCTGTGTATTCGTTCTCCATACGTTGTATACATTTTTAAAATGTCTTTCAAACCTCCCGCATTTCCTCAACGATGTGTATATACACGTAGTATTACATTTGTATAATATATTTATGTGAACACAAATGGTTAATTAAATTTAAAAATATAGCCTTCATTAATAATTAATTAGATATCTATTCCCCTCTCTCACTACTGTACGCAAAGGCGTCGGGACCGGGGAGGGGGGGGGGGGCTTAGCCTCCCATGTAAGCATTGGAATTTGCTTTTTCTTTTGGCTTGGCTCTTTCATTTTGCTTCCGACGCCTATGGTACACACACTTGTGTTAATATTTTTTCTTTCTGCATACTATATTTGTTAAGGGGACAGCAATTTTATTTTGAGGGTGAGGGACTGGCAGATTTTAAAAATAAATACTTGCAGATCAGTGATCCCCACTCCCATGAATCAGAGTTTTTTTTTTTTATTTTTTTTTTTGCATGTAGGATTTTCAATGAAGAGGAAAATAAATAAATAATATGTCCTTCATCTTATTGATCGGAAATAAATATTAATCTGTCCTTCAAAAAATCTGACTTGGAAAAACTCGCCTGCCCCCCCCCCCCCCCAAACAAATGATGGTCCCCTATCCTATTTTGAATCAATTAGGGGGATCTCTAATCTCCTGTTTTTGGTAATATTATTGAAAGATAAATGAACACAATGCACATGCTGGAATTAAGATCTTGATGATCATTAGTACCCTCCACACAAAATAGTAAGAAAGTTAAGATTTTCATATCTTAATAGCCAGTAAGCCTTTTCAACACCTGTACAGTAAATATATGAAAAAGTCAAATTATTATTTATCTAGAAAATTTATTTAATAAATATTTCTTTTCAAATACAATGACAGACTGTAGGAATGCTGGGCAGGTGCAAATTATTTCCATCACCTCATGTTCTTGTGGATAAAATGAATTCTGAAAATAAGAGAAAATCAGGAAATACCATTATTGAAAGTAATTTGTGTTTTAAAAAATGAAATAAAAAAATGCATGGAAACATTTAACATAGAATTTACATACATGTGTAACGTGAAGCGGTCACCCATCCAAGGGTTAATCAGGCTCGCCGTTGCTTAACTTGCCTGAAATAGAGGGAGACTCTACCGCATCACCAGAAAAGCTAGCTCACTGGCGAGGCAGTATAAGTTCCCTATATACTGTCCGCTACACATGAATGACATGTTTTCAATTCTTCTGTTAGTTTTATGATCAAAACTTTGTATAGTTTATAGCTTATATTGAGCATACCTGAATTTCCTTAAATGGATTTACTTGCTGCCTGAATGTCGAGTGAATGAATCCATTTGTCCAACATCTGGGAATAGCTAGGCCTACAACACAATATATAATTATGCAGTTATATGCTATGAGATTACTAAATTATACATTGTAGGATAAAATGGCATTACATTTGACAAAACAAATTATGCTAATTTGTATACTGTAGTAAATTTATGTTATTGATATAAATGAAAAAAAAAAATGTGTTACAAAACATCTCTGGGAAAGTGAAACCTCTGACATTTACAATAGTTATTTATAGAATATTTTCTATAAAAAAAATCTAAGTTTCTCCTTTACCAAAATGAAAAAAAAACAATATGTAAAACACATGCAAACTTTGAAAATGTGAAATGCTTTAGAAGTATACATACCCTGTGGAGAAATGATGCATTTTTTATTTATTCACTCTTTAAGCCTGAAACTCTGGACAGCTACAATGATAAAAGTATTATATAAATATTTTTAATGTACAATGTACATGTAATCTAAACAAAAAATGAATTTTTTTCCATTAATTTAGAAATTCTAGAAAATTACATCCATAGATCTGAAATGGGGCTTTTATGTTTTCAACACAATGTTACGGATATTTTTTTTAAATTGTGTAGCATATTTGTATGTCAAAATACATCATTGTTTGTTTAGGCCTAGTCACTAGTGAATCATTGACTAATACAATGAAAACATCTCATTCAATTTAGTTTAAATTTGTTTTACTGATGATCTCCATTATTACACATATTGTCTCAAAGAAAATGAGCTAATTGACAGGAACTCAGTACATATTTAGTGCAATTAATTTTTAATAATTCTAAAAAGTGTGCAACTTAGTATAGGGGGGTGTTACACACAAGGCACTGCATAATTACAGTTCTTCACTGACTGTGGTAATAGATTTAAATGAACATGAACACACTTGGTTTTTTTTTTATGTTTACAAAAGCATGTCTACATATTGTAGATCTACACATGTACCTACATATGCGTATACATACCTGGCCTGGAATTACAGTGCAGCGATTGATCTACGGAGCTAGAGCTGGTGCAAATTGTCTCATTTTTCTGCTATTTTTCGAAATAATGTCCTCATATTCTTGTAAAATGGAGAAGCAATGCCTTGTCTCTTATTTTATCCCTATTTTCTTTAAAGATTGCGTGGTTATTGCATTTAAATCCACTGCAAATTTCAGCTGATATCGCCACGTTTTAGATGTAAACAACATTCCGTGTCACCGAGTGCAAGCGCTTGGCTGAAGCCGAATGCAGACAAACGACACATTAAAAAGAGAATTATTTTAAAGACATGCTATTTTATATACGAGAAAATCACTAATTATTTTCTATTTAAACATGAAGATATTATTGTTTATTACAAATCGTTGCCAATATCGGTAAATAGTTATTTTGAGCACCATTTCCTTATATGGATCAATCAGGGCGGAGCAACTGTCATGACGTCAGACCTCATTATGACTTCATTACCATATTTTTTTCATGCGTTGCCTTAACTGTACTGCGCGCTTTTTCATACAATCAGCAGCTGCTAAATTTTTTATTAAGTTGCTCACTCATTTGTTAGGATTTTATGTCTATGCAGTAACTCCGCGAGCTGACTAATAAGCCAATGAAAAAGCGCGATTAGGTTCTAGGTAACCACTAAAATTTTACTTAATATGATCTAACTATTACTTGGCGCACGTCAATAAAAAAAATTTAAATAGGTCCCATGAGTGACGCTTGTGACCTCACAAACACAGTAATATTTATACAGCGTGACTCACCATATTCCTATGAAATGTCAAATTTAATCCATGAAAAAGATAATAGTCCTCTAGTCCTTTACTGTCGTCTTCTCTTAATTCCGAATACATTTCCATAGCCTCGTATCCAAATTTAGCAACTGAGAAATCTTTTTTAAGAAGTAAACATGTTGGAGCTCTATTTCTAACTTCATTCAAGGATCTGAATGATCCTACTTCCAAAAAGTGTCTAGATTGGAAGACATACGTGCTGGTATTTGCACCAAAATCTATCCCAGCGACAAGTTTGTCCAAGAATCTTCTCTCCATCTTTTTAAGTCATTCTGTTTGTTCTTAATTGAACAGAATTTTGTTTTGGTTTAAATATTTCTGAGTAGGGAAGCCCTAAAAGCATTTAAAATTTATATATATAAAATCTGATAATGAAAAAATAATGCTATTTACAGCTCGTCTATATGAATAAGGTGAATATTAAATACATAAATAAATATCTGGATAAGAAGAGACTTACCTTCTTGAAAATTACAATAACTGTGTCATCCTGCATTCTAAACGACTGAATCACGCAATTTTAATATGTTCAGTGATTCAAAAAACTATATTGTTTGTTTATGATAGTAGTCGTTCTCTGCATTTAAAGTCTTTAAAATGGTATATGACACGCTAGGATTTTGATTGCACGGACGGACGACGATGATATGGGTAAACGATATGGGTACAGGGGTCTGTAAATAAAACTTGACACACATTCTTTTATTAATGTTTGATAAAAAAAAGATTTTTTTTTACAAATTTAAACAGAGAATTTGGAGATTGAAACAAAAATTCCACAAGTTAAACGTCTGTATCAAATAAAGAACTAAAGTGAAACACTTCTAACAAAAATATTCTATTTGTTTAAAAATACACCATTTTATAAAATTTCATTAAATGCCCTCCTTTTACATTAGATTGCAGAATGGCGTTTTTCATACCAATTGTTAAGCTGTTTTGTTAACGTACACACTGAATTTTCAACGATGATGAATTATAGTATCACACCCTCACGTCAGATGCGTGTGGTTGTCGGACAGCCACTATAGCTAGTGTGCATTATTTGGTAAATAAAGATAAAGCCGCCTTACGTTTTGCAGACATTTATTATGTTCCCCAAACGAAGTTTGGGAACATATTGTTTTTACTTTTGCTGAATTTTTTCTTTGTTCTCCGGTACTTTTTTGTCCGCGAGTGTTCTCGTAAACTACTCATCCGATCTTAGTGAAACCTTTAATTTTTAGGATCACTTGGTATGTTATGTAGATGTGCAGAACGAAGGTCATTTTGCGCGCACGTGCGTGCGTGTGCGCACACGTGTAATACGTTAAATGACCAATATAATAGATATAGCTGTAACTTTATATTTTTTTTTTATGAAATGCTTTGAAACTCATAATATAAGGATATATGAGTAGTATAAACATGGCGACATGGTCAAAATAGCATGATCTCACGCTCATGCGCTTCGCTCCGATCGCCTGAAACTAAAAGTCTAATTATCTTTTTTTGTTTTCTGACAAAAAAAAAAATTGAAATTTTGAACAAAGTCATACATTATGAATTTTTACAGCATAATATATAAGAATAATCATGAACGCATGCACATGCACATGTGTTGCAATCTGATTGGCTAAAACTTGAAATGCCTACAACTTTCTTGGTTCTCAATAATATAGGGTGAAATTTCGAATATGAATAGATATAATGCATGCCTACATAATACTACTATCAAAAGTAAATACAAAGACGTACACGCACATGCGCCCGCACACAATGCATGAAACGACATGATTCATGTGCGAATGGAAACTTTTTTATATTTCCGTTTTATAAAATCACAGAAGATAATGAACAATTACGGAGGGCCAAGGAAGATTATTTTGTTAAATTATTTCAGCCTAAATTAAATGTAAATTGAACATTTTAGCTCTAAAGAAATGTTCTATTTTATTACAATGTACATGTGTTTAACTCTATACATTTGGCGCTTTTTTGACATTTACCTGGGGTGCGTTCAACAGCGTAGCTTCTAACATAGCAGCTACGTGTTAGATATCTACCTCTAATGAACGGATAGCTAAATTTAGGGCTAAACAAACATGGCCGACAAAATGTGTTTGGTTGACTTTTACGTTTAATTTATTTATGGGAAATGGATTTTAATGTGCATTATGAATCCGGAAATTTCTGAATTTCAGTTCTGAATTTTTCAGACTAGGATTATATCCGGTTATACTTCGAACAGACGATAGAGATTCCTGCGTTACGGAAAAATCCACCGATAACATTGACTGAGAGTGAGATTTTATGTATCTGATATGCATTTCTGTTACATATACTAACATCTTAAGTGCTTTCAGATATGATAATTTCCACTTTTCTTAATTTTCAACAAACGGAAAGAGTTGTATAGTCTGCAAGGTAATAATTATACGTTACACACTGATCATGGCAAATGAACAATCTGCTAAGATGCTGGCACTCATACCATGCTTAATTGAAGCCTTTGACGACCCCCCTGAATTATTACATGTGTTAGGCTCCGACAGTCATGTAAGTGGAGCGTCTGGAGATGTGGTTTTAGCTGCTTCTTTACACCAGCCTGCATTAGAATTGTTCAATCACTGATTGATGGGTTTTGTAGAGCATGATGTGCCACTGTATAATGACTTAACATTCAAAGCCCATTTTCGAATGGTCAGAAGCTCATTTCAGGTGTTTATCTTAATCATTGCAATGTACATTAATTATTTTTAGTATTGCAGGACTCGACATCTATCCACCTGCCATTGACATGGTCTGAACTGCCTTTAGTTATCGCTGAACGGTGTTTAAGAATCAATGAAAATGCTGGTTGCTGGAAAAGAGACAGACTACAATACTCCAAAAATACTTTTCATGTCAATCTCATTGAGATGTTATGTAAATTAGAACTATGTCATTGAAAATATTATTATGTATTTATTATTAAAAGCTTTGAGAACTGTATAACATGTTTGTTTACTTAATCTATAAAATATATGTTCAACTATATATATGGTGACATTTTATGAGCATGTTGAAGTAATATTAGATAATTTTGTTCCATAAGGCAAAACTGAAAAAAAAATGTTATATGACAGTGCTGAAGCTGAGGAAAAAAAGCAAAAATCAGTTCAGTATTAAGAGCTTAAGTGGTCCTGCCTATCCTAACAAAAAATACTATAGTTAATTATAGTTTACTATAGTTAACTACTAGTGTAGTGATAATTTTGAGACTTTGAAAACTGATTTACTATAGTGATAACTTTGACACTTTGAAAAACTTTGACACTTTGGAAAACTTTGAAGAAAACTTTGATACAATGAAAAACTTTGACGAAAATTTTGACACTTTGAAAAACTTGACGAAAACGTTGACACTTTGAAAAACTTTGAAACTTTGAAAAATTTTGTCGAAAAAAACTTTGAAAAACTTTGGCGAAAACTTTGACACTTTGATTTACTATAGTTAACTATAGTTTACTATAGTCTTTTTTTGTTAGGGATATCCCTAAATGGAGGGGTGAGGGTATGATTTGAACAATCTTCAATGAATCTACACTCATCTAAAGATTACCTGAGAACGATTCAACACGAGTTTTATCTTTCCCTGTCTAAGGGTTCTTAAAAATAAGACTTAAAAAATGCTATTATTTTTTCGCTAACTTGTTTAGATTATTTCCCCTTGGAAGAGGATGTGGACATTAATTTGAAAGAAATAAAAAAGCTTCAAACCCCTTTAGCCAATACTTTGTTATAATCTTGGTTTAATTTAGCTCCATTGTTCTGGAGGAGAAAGTGTGTGAAAAAACAATATAAAAAGACAAGTTCAGTGTAGATGCATACTCTGATAAACAAAAAAAAATGGTAAAAAAAAAAACATCTAAATTGAGCCTTCCAAACATGTGCCCTGAAAACTTTTTTTTTATATATGGATAAAGATGGGAGGTCTTTAAATACAGATATACAAATCGTTATTTTACAGATTGCGAGGCATTTGGACAGTATCAAAATTGCAAAAAATTTATGCTTTGAAATATCTTTTAAAGAAGTAGTCTCATATTTGCAATGATGTGTGAACACAAATTTTAATAACAATTTCTGGCTCAATTTGTTTGCACATTAGAATATTGACAATTTGGCTCCTCCCTACCATGGGGGTCATTACTTAAAAAACACTTGAACATACACTATATGAGGATCCTTCTATATGATATATAAAAAATATTTTTCATATATCCATATAGAAGGATCCTCATGTAGTACTCACATACACTTTACTTGACTTATTATATTGTTGTTCATGTTTAATTAAACTTTCACAAAGGAGCTAATTTAACCCCGGTATATTACATATAGCGTTATGGTTTTAGATATTTGTCTTTGACCATAACGCTACAGATCCAGTAATGCAAAAAAGTTGCAATTTAGAGCGCATTTAGACCCCCTTATTCTAGTGACATTTTGTAGCCAATATAAATTATCCACCTCTCAAACATTTATAGTTGTCTCTACAGACAGACAAGATGTCCATGGGCCACATCACTCACCTGAGCACTGTGGCTAGGAAAAAGTAGAAATTGGTTTATTATTGAAAAGTTTTAACCCAAAAGTAGTCCCATGACCAATCAAAGCTTTGCAATTCTTGAAGAGATGATTTTTAAAGAATTATATATATATATTTCTATGTAAAACTTTGATCAGGCCAGTATGGCCCCGCCCTACCCTTGGGGGTCATGATTTGAACAAACTTGAATCTACACTATCTGAGGAGGCTTCCATATAAATATGCATGATCAATTATGGTTTCGCTATTCTTGAGAAGAAGATTTTTAAAGGATTTTCCTATAAATTTTATGTAACATTTTGGTCAGCGTGTTGGCCTCAACCTACCCCTGGGGGTAATGATTTGAATTTACACTACCTGAGGACGATTCCGTATAAATATGATTATGACTTTGTTATTCTTGAGAAGAAGATTTTAAAAACATGCCACCATATTTTCATTAATTCCCAATTATCTCCCCTTGAAAGAGGGCATGACCCTTCATTGGAACAAACTTGAATTTCCTTCACCAAAGGATGCTTTTTGGCATGTTTGGTTGAAATTAGCCCAGCGGTTCTTGAGAAGAAGTCGAAACTGTGAAAAGTTTACAGACAGACAGAGGGACGCCGGACAAATGTGATCAGATCACGTATTAATTTTTTTTTGTTAGAATGCTGAAAAATCACTTCAAGTGAGTTTTTAGCTCACCTGAGCCGAAGGTTCACTTGTAGTGAATTTTCAGCAATCTAACAGATAAATTTTATCACGTGAGTTTATCACTTGTAGAGACGACTATAAAGATTGTGCCTAGAATTAAGGTGGCTGATTGACCTTTCTTTGAATTGCGGGATCTGTAGCGTTATGGTCTGCAGCTATAAAGGAACAGCTGTATGTGTTTCTCCATCAAATTATTATTACGATACATGTATATAACTTGAAAGATTATATGCAAAATAGAAATAAATATAAAGTTGAAAAATATATGCTTAAAATGACTGTACACGCAGGTCACGAGTCATGAAACAGTTATATAACTACATAAAATCCAATTCTTCAAAGCTTGCTTGAGGCTGTGGCTCCATATCTGGACTGCAGATCCAACACAGTGGAAACAAAAGTTCTCTCTACCGTGTGGCTCCTCAGCAATGCCGAGTCCTACCGTGGCGTAGCTGACCGCTTCGGACTGTCTAAAGGAAGCCTGCACCAAATATTCCTTTCCGTCTGTGAAGCCATGAGACATTTGGATAGTGTTGAGTGGCCAAGTGAGCAACTGATGAAGATCTCAGCTTGCACTTTTCTCGCAAGGCATGGATTTCCAGGGGTGATTGGTTGCATTGACGGATGCCACATTCCCATCAAAAGACGCACCGAGGATCGCTCCAGTTTTATCAACAGGAAAGGATTCAGTTCCTTTGTTCTTCAGGGAATTTTTAATGAGAACATGTAGTTCATTGACGCCTTTGCTGGTTGGCCAGGATCAGTCCATGATTCTAGAGTTCTCAGGAACAGTCCTATTACTGCTGAGTTGGAGAAGATGCCTGGTAATCTTCATATCCTGGGTGATTCAGCTTACCCCTCTCTACCTTTCTGATGACCCCATTCAAGGAGATAGGCAACCTGTGTGACAAAGAAAGAAGGTTTAACGTCCTACACAGCACCACCAGATCCATCATCGAACGAGCGTTTGCGCTTCTGAAAGGCAAATATAGAAGACTCAAATCCCTAGACATGAGTCTTGAACAGGAGATCCCAGGCGTTGTTATGGCTTGTGTGTACTTGCAGAGGGAGGATAACGAGATCATTCCAATCAGAGACATAAACTTCAACTTCAGCACAGCATCCCAGAAACGTGCAGCCATTGCAGCCTGGATTTAAGTCCTAAATACATGTAGAAAGAGTAAAGAGTCCATATATATATTGCTTCAGATTTTAAATTAATTTTAAAATTGTGAATTAAGCATTCAGATTTAAGTTCTCATTATTGATATCACTGAAATTATGATAGGATAATATTTTCATGAAAAATTGTTGTTTTAATAAAAAAAATGGTATTCATTGTGTTCGAACCCTAGCAATAAAAATTCTGAGTAACATTTTTTTCGAGATAAGCACAATAACCACTAGACCTCACAAGTCCTAATGATTAAAGCAAAACATATGGAGATAATGAGCAGTATTCAAACGGTATTTAAATCATGTTCGTTATATGACCCTTATTTTATTAGACTTCAAGTATTTCTGGAAAAAGAGAATTTTATGTGATTAAGGTATATGGGTCTCTGCTCAAACATTTGGTAATTAAAAATATATATTTATGAAGATTAACTTTCAAAGAAAAAATGGAGCAAAAACCCACTTATCAAAAAAAAAGTTTACTGTTATAGTGTGAGAAAATGACTGTTTTTGTCCTCTTTTGTGTGTGTGTGTATAATATTTCATAGGCGAATACCTTCATGAGATTTTTTCAAGTTGTATATTTTATATAAAGTATACTTTCGTGTTACATATTTAATACGTACAATTAAATTTTGGTGTATTTGAGATTTGATTTTTTACCTTCATTTTGTCATGCAAAAGGCTCTTTGATTTTCGTGTTTACCCATCCCCTTTGTTGGAAAAGTTTAAATGAAATTTCTTGTACTCTTCAAAGACAAAAAGCTCAACTTACTAAAGAAATATCAAAAAGGCAAACATTTGTTGTACATAAGTGAAAAGTTTAAACTTACCAGTGAATAATAATGTATTATACAGTAAATCCAGTTTGGCAGCCCAGAAATGAACAGCAATTGCAGCTTGGTTATAAATCCTAATAAATAGAGTAAAGAAGAGTAATTTGTTAGAAAAGTTTAAATGAAATCTCCGGTACATGTACGTTGCAAAGACAAAGACCTCAACTTATTTAAAAACTATAAAAAAGACGAACATTTGTTGTACCTGAATGAATGAAAAGGTTAGAACTTACCAGTGGATAATATGACAGTAAATTAAGCTTTTAGTAAAGCAGCTGTTTGTAAGATATTTCTCTAGGAATTGATTATTTTCTTTCTGAATGAAATGAGCAACATGTACGTTCTAAATTGGCAGAAGAGGTAGCTAGCATATTACTGTTTTAATGTTTACATAGTTTAATGAACCAGAGAAATTAAATTTAAAAGGTCTACTCTATGGCATGTTTGAGATATTATAAGGTATAACTCATATGAGGGATTTAGATTTACATTCAGCAAAATTCCTTTATCTCAATGGGACAAAGAAGACAAGGAATTGATATCTGAGGGTTCAAGATTCTAAATTGTGAAATCCAACGCACCTGCCCATGTAATTGTTCAACTGATAAACAAAATTTAATAAAACTAAAAAAAGATTATGCCCAAGAAATCAAAGACTTAAGGGCATATAGTTTTTATCCCTGTCTGTCGGATTGTCTGTCTGTTTGTCTGCAGAAAGTTTAACCTTGTCTATAACTTTTGAGTGGGTAGGGCTATGGCTTTTATGTATTTCACATACATATAACTTGTGGCAAGACCTTCCTTTTGATACCAAAAATTTTTCTTCTTGATCGTGAGCTTGGAGTAAATCTGACCCTTGCTATAAGCTTCCCTACATGGGCATCAGCGTTTCTTAAACGCATCCTGTCTTCTGTGTAAAATCATTAACATTAGAGAGCAAGATCAATTTTTATCAGACACACAAGTAAATATAACTTTTTAGAGTTTCATTGGGATAGGATATGACATGGAGTTGGTCACATGATCAAATTTTATAATATCTAAAGAACTCTGTAAAACAGTAGTAAAAACAATTAAATCCTTGACAAAATGATAAAACAAAGTGTTAACATGAACAGCTGGTAGCTGCAGGTTCGGTAGATCTGTCGTGGTGGAGAATTTCATTCATTTTGTCGAAGTAAACGCAGGTTGTCCTGCCCGCCCCAGATTTCCCCATGCTGTCCTTGATAGACCTGTAGCTAAAACACAATAACTTTTATGATAACAAAAAAGGAGTTAAAGTAACTTTACAGCATTTCAAAAATTTCTTTTAAAACTGCATATATAGCTTAGTATATACATATTAACATTGGGTTAAATTTGCATAACTGTATTTAATTGTTCTTGACCTTTTACGTGCTTTAATTGAAACCTTAATATTATGTTCCATTTTCAAATTATCTCTGTATGCACAACTTTAGCAAAAAAAATCTTGATTTATATTAATAGACATTGATTGAACTTTCTTTTGTTCATTTTCATTTAAATACCAATACATAAAATCAATTGTCCTCCACCAAAAAATCATAAGAAAAGAAAAAAATGGATAACCACCACCAGGATTACAATCATTTGGGTAGTGATGGGAATGAGCCCATGTAACTGACTATCCTTACACTACCTACTTGAATTTTTGAGCTATATTAGTATTATATGTAAAATGAAAATGTGGATCTGAATGGGATATTTTCCCATTCAAGATAGAATTAAATAAAATCTCTTCCTTCCTGGGAAGACTTTTTTTAAAAATATCATCTAAGCAATCAAATGACTCTGAAAAAATTTATATATAAAGAAATTAATACAATATTTAAAAAAATAACTATCATTTAGGCAGGATCCCCAAAACAGTGAACCTAAATCTATGAAATCCAAAAGAAGTGTTATGTTCTTCATAGTGACAAAAATTATTAAAACTTCACTATTGGTCAGTTAGATAGCATGTGTAACCATCAAAATACATGTAGTTATAACATATTTTAAAAATGATATTATGTTTATAGTTATTGTCTTTATATATGTAAATGTAAAATGAATTATGGCCATAATCATTAATGTTTATAATGAATGCCTCAATATAGTGAATAAACATGCCCAGTGCACTTGTAATTGCATCTAGACTTTCAACAACCTTTATCTTAAATAATTAGAATACTGAGTATACCGAATTTTCAAGTTGTTCCACTTCTTTTCGCATGCAGTGGGTTATTTGTTGTATCCAGCAGCGCTAATCTCCTCCCCAACCTTCCCCCAAATCTCAAACTTCCTAACAATTGGATTGTCAAAATCCTCCTTTCTCACTTGTATCTCTGAGAGGAGAGCCAATGTCTCCGCTTGGCTCCACTGCAACTGAACTTCTGAAAACAAATAAAACACTCAAAACAAAATAAATAAGAGTTTATTATTTTGGTTAAAGACACTTACTTGATTTTTCCTCCGCTATGTCTGCTTTTTCTGGAAAACTGCTGCTGCTTTTAACTAGATAAAAAAAAATTAATTTTATAACTTAGTTTTCCATACTTAATAAGTTACCTTTAATGTTTCATGTGCCGTAGTAAAGAGATACTTGCCTGTGCTTTCCTTTTCTCTAGAGGGTGTCTCATCTATGTTTTAACAAAATCAAGCATATTAATATTATTTAATCTACATCTTTTTTCAGAGCTCACTTTATATAAAAAAAGAATCACTTATTATCTTCATTGTTTTGAATCAAAATATAAATGTGACAATTGTAGATAAAAAATACATGAGTAAAAGGACTGTTTTAAATTCTATACTAAGGATAAAATAACTAAAAAGTAATGTATGAAAAATCCCCCCCACCCCCTGTTTTATTTTGTCCATTTTCTTAAACATAACTATCTATGACTGGGCAAATCATAAATGGAGCAAAAGTTTGCAAGCGTGAAAGGGCAAAAATAACACAGGACAAAAATTAACCCTGTATAAATAATTTTAAATAAGAGGATTCCTTAAACTTAACATGGAACTATCAATATATTAGAACGTATACTGCAATGCAAGTTAATATACCCATCCTAATATATAATTCCTCTGATAACTATAATAAATCATATGCAGATAATGACTTCAACACTTTCAGAGGACAGAAAACTATACAGAGATGAATTGTCCGTGTTTGCTCTGCTCTTATTTTGTATATTTTTTTAATGGACGTTGAGATTGAATACTGTTCGTTATTTCCATATCCTCAGGGATTTTCCACACCATTTTGGGAAAGGGGCCCAGGCCCTTACAATTGGGAATTTAACGACATTTTATCACTTTTGGGGAATTTCTATTGCATGTTAATTTTCAAGAAATAAACACTTATAATCAAAAAATAGATTTTTACTTCATTATTCAGAACTATAATTCAGAGAATAGATTAATTATTATGAAGTTTTAGTCAAGTTTCCAACAAATTATGTTCATTTCATCCATTTCAACCTGACCATGTTTGTTTTACATGAAATTTTATCAGTTGACTTTGTGGAGTTTCAAAAATTGAACTCATACTAACCATTTTTGGGAAAAATGGAAGGCATTTGCAATTGGGAATGGGGCCCATATTCGGCCCTACACGGGGTAGTGGAAAATCCCTGATCCTTCTTTAAGTAATCATCTAACGTGTCTTACACATATAGCTTAGCATTAAACAATGAAACTTATTGGAATCTTAATCCGTTTATAATATTCAACGATTCACATGAATAAACGTTACCTGGTATAGGTGGTATCTCAGTCTCTTTGATGACATCTGCCTCTATAAGAGAATTCCTGATCTGATCAATGAACTTTTGATCTGAAATATCAGTTAATATCATGATTAATAAATAGAGAATATTACATACTAAAATCCATATCATATATCATATCAGCCCGAGTGGCCCCATATCAGCCCGACGACCGGAGGCCCGAGGGCTGATATGGGGCCACTCGGGATGATGTGATATATGATATGGATTTTAGGATGTAGTATTCTATTTATCATATATTTAAAAAACTTATTATGCAAGTTCACATATGGTCATTAATGAACATTTCGTGTTTGTTTGTGAAATTTCTCTGTAAAATCTTATAAAGCCTATTTTAGGTAACTGAAAAAAATTAAGACCATTAAATGTCATTTAAGAAAGATTTATTATGAATATTAAAATACAATCAAGTAAATTGAATTAAAACGTTAATACAAACGTTACTTCCGGTTTGATATGGATTTTCGGCCCGCCGGTCCGATACGTGATATGGATTTTCGGACCGGTCCATGATATGGGGTATTGTGACGTCACCCGTATCACACCATGCAGAATCGGTGTATTTACTACTAAGTATATGATAATTATTCTTTGCAATCAAACATGATGGAAGCAAAGTGAATCAAAAATATAAATATTTGTAACTATACATACCATTGTGTAATACTACAGTATTATATATATTTTAAAAATCATTGAAATTACAGCAAATATTAAACGTTATACGTATCAATATAGAAAAAGTAGTATAGTCCCAGCACTACTCAAATTAATTGATGACTTGCTGGTCTTGGGTCAGTGATTTCTAAATTTGGGCTAGTACATTGTAGAGGACATTTGTTCTTTGGGAAAGCATGTTTTTCTGTATATGGTCAGGCTATAGTTAATTTGACCATCACATACATGTAGATGTGTGCGCAAGTTCTATTTTTAAAGTTTTGCTATTAAGTATAATAAAATTAAAACTAAGTACAAACAGACAGAATGGGGAAGCACATAACCTCCAATATTTCAAAGGGGGTCATAAAATTTACTTTATAACTTATTGACTGTGTGACCAGTAAAAAATAAGACTATACATGTTCAACACAAATACATCTACATGTATAAGCTCTGTAAAATATGAGTATTAAATATCAATTTTGAAACCTCCTGCCCTTATCCTTGCAGCATCATATTTATTTACTACAATCTTCTCATCTGGATGTACCCCATCCGCAAATTCCACTGTGAATTCCTCATAAAATCTAAAATATGCGCAAGAAGGTAGCCAGTGCATTGGCTTACAATTATTAGTATAA